AGGACTGAGTCCCCTGCTCCCCAGCCCAGGGTTCCTGCCATCCCCACACACAGTCTCTCTGAGGTGTGGGGTGAACTGAGCCCGGGCAGGGTATGGAGGGCTGAGGCACAGTGGGGAGGCCCCGTGCGGAAGGGCAATGCAGGCAGAAGAAGCCACAGCTAAATATTTCCACTGCAGGGAAGAGGGGCCTAGATCTCCAAAAGAAAAACCAAACTAACCCCAAACCCCAGGACCTAGGCTGGCCACGACCAGATGGGTGCCTTCCAAAGGCCTGAAGTTGTCACAGAGGAAAGTGAAGCTGAAGTGACAGGGGTCCTTCGGCACAAACCAGCCCTTTAAAATACAAAATCAAAAAACTGCAACAAAAATACCCACACACAAAACAAACCCACAAGCACCTTCCCCACCCCGAGGGTTCGCTTCAGTTTTGCCTACGTCCAGCTCCTCTCAGGCTCCTGGGCCAGGGGTGGCTTCCCAGCCCACCTCAGGCTTTAATTACATGGGCTGTTGTTGACGTGATAGCGATGTGGAGGAGGAAAGCCAGGAGCAGGCCTGGGAAGTATAGCTTCAACAAAAATTCCCCAGGGAGTAGCTGAGGCATTGCTTCCTGTTACCATCATCCCCCCTTGCTGGGTTTCTCGGGAGAAGGGGGAGGGAGGTCACGTTGACCCCGTTTCCTGGGTTAGCATTTAGTTGCATCTTCCAGGCAGGGAGAAGGGGCGACAGAGACTGCCATGGGCTCCTTGTGGAAACCAGCAGGGAAGGCCCGGGCACCCTTTGGGAATATGTGTCTGGCCCTTTTCATGGGCTCGGTTCCACGCTGTTGCTCGTTGTGCCGTATTTTTTGACAGCATATACTAAACATGACAACCCGTCCTGTGTGTCGCCGCTGGAGCTGTACATGGAGAATGCCGTGTTGTGATGTGCGGTGTTTTGATACCGTGGTTGGCTTTGTTCAAGTCTCTCTCTCTTTTTTTTTTTTTTTTCTGTTAAATCAATTGCTGTGCATTTTCATTGTTCCCAGGCAAGACTCACTCTCTTTTCTCCCAGGGCTCTCTAGTCTCACTGCTACCCAGACCCACTCTAATCCAGCCGAGGGGTTATTTCCAGCCCATGACAGTGGCTGGAATCCTTCTTGGAAGAAACGTCTAATGTCAGGGACCTAGGGAAGCTTCCGGACTTGCCCTGGCCCAAACCTTGCAGCCTGGGGCCCAGGCTTGCCCACTGCTGCTCAGGGATCTCCACAGCGCCCTCTAGGCGCTGAGCAGGGGTCCAATTTCTCCAGCCTTTTGCCAGCTTTAAAATCCTTAAGCAGCATTACTGTACATGTAATGAAAAATACCATGTATGACAATAAAAAACCTGTGTACATATCCCCATGTACATATTTATATATATATACACGCATTCCTATTATAAATATATAAGGCATGGCATCTCTTTGGCATTCCAAGTTTGTGTTTTTTTAAATCTTGGAAATAGGGCTTTGGAAACCTTTTACTTCCTTTCTCTCTTTTCTATGTAATAAACATTCATGTGACCTTTCCGGTGACTTTTTGAACCCCCGTGTCCATCTTTCTCGTAAATGGACAGATTACCGACTGACATCAGCTCCCCGCCACTCCCAGTAGCTCTTGCTGTTGGTCTGCTTTCCATCAGAAGGCCGCGCTTCACCAAGGGAGGCCGTGCCCTCTTTCCGCCCTTTCTCCCACGTTTCCTTTCTCCTGGGAGATGTGTGCAAGTTGCTTCTCAAACCACCACATCAGCTTTCGTAATCTGACCCCTCTGCGACCAGGAATTTGCACACTGGATTGGCCGTCACGCTCCAGATGGGGCTTACCGAGAATAAATGTACAGATGTGGCTCATTTTCTCCTCTCGGTTGTTAGACTGGCTGATGAGGGAAATACGTGTGATGAATACATCGAACAGAGTCTGTCTGCATGAGAATGTGGGTAAGAATGGTTCGAGAACGTGTAACTAGCTGTTCAGCTGTAATGAGGGACTGGCTACACCTTGGAGGGAGTTGCGGGGCCCCTATCCATGATGCATCCAACACTTTCATTAATAATTGGATGAAGACCTA